TTATTTATTTTTTTCTTTTTGATTTCTTGTAAATAAACTAAGAGATACACTTCTATATGCAAAATTTTGCATTGAAGAAAAAGAAATAATATGTCATCAAAAGGCATTTCATTTAATGTGTACGATTGAAAAAACGACATTTATTGTAAAGATTAATGCTGTAAAGAAGACCGAAAAATATATATGCAACAGAAGAAAATTAATATAACAGTGTAACTCACGTACGGAATAAAAATTATCTATATAATTATCATTATTATAATATTTTGACTTCTGTTTTATTAAAAAAAAACAATATTGTAATAGCACCACGGAAAAGGATATTGCTGTATGAGAGCGTATATTTGTTATTCCGTTAGGTTTCATTTTCAATAGGTTAGAAAGATAGAGCATGAAATTATGCACATTTCTGTATAATTATTTTTGTTTTTAGTGGATGCAAAGTAAAATTTTCGAAAACTAAATATATGAAAACTAGTACAGTAGATCGGCGTTGTTTTTTTCATGTTCTACAAAAAATGACATAATGATCATATTTATCAATGAGTTTAAGTAAGATTAGACTGGTGCGATAGAACCGATTCTCATATGCAAGAGACAAATTTCAATACTTTTGTAGTGTACTATTATAGTATTTAAAAAATCGAGGCGCAACTAGATTTCTTAATGATTAAAAACTACACCGGTTAACGTTCTATCAATCTATACCGTTTTCGGAAAAATCTATTCTCTCATAAAGCTCATTCTCATTGAAATATTTTAAGAAAATGACTTTTTTCGGAATACTATAAAAGTCGATATCGATCATTTTTCTATTGAATCCTCGTTAAATTTCAACTTCACAGCAAAATGAATATCATATTCGGAATCAGCACAAAAAAAGTACGTTATATAATATACATTTCAACCAAAAATAATTTTTCAAGACAAATGTACTACAGAAGGACCACATTAATTTTTTCATAAAAAACTCCTTTTGCTGAATTTTATATTATATAACGTTATTTTTTTGTGCTGGTTCTGAATATTATATATATTTTGTTGTGAAGTTGAAATTTAATGAGGATTCAATAGGAAAATGATCGATGTCGATTTTTATAATATTCCGAAAATGGTCATTTTCTTAAAGTGTTTCAATGAGAATGAGCCTTAGGAGAGAATAGATTTTTCTGAAAACGGTATAGATTGATTGAACGTGAACCGGTGTAGTTTTTAATCATTAAGAAATCTAGTTGCAATTTGGTTTTTAAATATAAAAATATAAAAAATTTATCTTTGTGATATGAGAATCGTATCTATCATACCTGTCTGACCATGCTTAAACTAATCGATAAACATAATCATCATGTCATTTTGTAGGGCATGTAAAATAAATGTCAATCTACAGTATTAGTTTTCATATTGAGTTTACAAAAAAAAGTATGGTTACTATAGCAACTATTCAAAAGCGATAGACCCCTTAAGACTATTTAATCTCTTGTACGGGTAGATTCATCAAATCAAGAAAAGATAATAAAATGCCAAAACATATTGATTTTCTTCACTTTTACACTTGATTCATCTTTTTTCTTCGTCAATATATATATATATATATATCGTGTAATTCTTTTCTCAGCTTACAAGTATTGCAAAATCCGACACAACATATTAAGAAATTAAATATTACATTATTAGATAAGCATGACAACATTGTTGTAAATCATACAAAATGTTTAATAGAGCAGTTAAATCGTCGAGACAAGTGTAATTCAATGAGCAATTTAGTGCAGTGATGTGGAACATGAGATATAGGATAGGAGTTATGAGGTGAGATTGAATAGTCATTCACTAAAATGAGAAATTATTTAGATGTTTAATAATATCATAGCACTCAGCATTATCTTTTGCAATTATTGAAGGAAACTAAGTATCTGTTAAGAGTATTTCAGAAAACAATTGTATTTACAAATTTTATTTTATTCGATCATATAAATTACTTGAATTAATTTAAAATTATTATAATTCGCTAGAAATAGATCAAATAAAGAAGTTATAATGAAACATACATATCAGAAATTGATGACATTCATTATCGTAGATTATTTTTTACAATGAATGATAAAAGTATCATCTTATGAATATTCACAGAATTGACTGGATGATTTTATGTTGAGATTCTAGCATCGTAAATTGTAATCGATATATACAACTTCAATTATAACATCACTACAATATCATTTCATAAATATTAAGAAGAGGTTCATAATAGTCTTCCATATAGACAACTAATCATTATTCCCGATTTGATATTAGTAACTTTCTTTGATTTTAAAATATCAACATGAGCATTTTATATTATTTCTTTTATTCAAATAAGTAGAATAAAACACAAAAACTATAATAGAGATAAACATTCTTCGGACGCATCATTATTTAATAAAATAATTTATTATTTCGTCAAAGTATATTTACGTCGCGTTACATCTCTTGTAAAATTTTCTGTTACAATTTTCAATTGGTCATAATTGAGAGTATGGATGTGGATGAATGGGTAGAATCATAGAAAGAAGATGCACTCACCTACGCCTACATCCTCAAGCCTAAAGAAATAAATCTATGTCGTGAACACGTATTGTACTGTTATTAATTTCTTTCTTGTTTTGTGGGTTCTTTTTTGTCATAAAATATTACATGTATCAAAGTTTGTTTTCTTGCCATCCGAAGATTACTCATTTATCTTTCTGTAAGCTTTGAACTCCGACTTCTTGTTTGTTTTCAAATATAGACTTTTATTTCGTATACTGATTAAAAATTTACTAAAGTTTGAAAAAACGAATAATATTATAGTGAGTAGTAATATTTCAATCAAAGTTTCTATTAATTAACTATTGACAAACAATTAAAAGATACTCGAATAATGGTTAGTTACTATCAAATATATACATCCTTCAAGTTGCATATTATTTGTAGTATGTAATGCAGTACATGGAATTATGAAATTTAAGTACTAGTATTTTATGCAATTGTAAGGTCTTCATGACGAATTAATCTATAAGGTATTTTTATAGGTAATCATAAAAATTTTGTTATGTCTGATTGAAACGTGAATAACCTTCAATGTAACTAAATATACTTATCCTTGAAAATGTTTTCATAGACAAATTGATTTGATTATCAGTAGAACAATTTCATTATGAATCTTTATTAGATTAATGTAAAAACCAATTTATTCCCCTATTATTCTATTATTTAAAAAGTACATATTTAATACAAGTAAAATAAAATTAAAAAAAATGAATAATAGTAATAATAATAATAATAAATATGTATTGCTTTACTTTTTTGACATGTCTCTAAGTCTTGATCACATCCATCTATAGCACACATGCATACTGTTTCATCTTCTTGACATTGTGAAAAATAAATACTTTTTGATGTCCATGTAAATGATCTACATAACATTGCTTTATATTTTATTAAATGAGACACATAAATTGATGGTGGTAAAGTTTGTCGTGTTATATAATTTGTTCGATCAACACTAATCCAACATAAAACACCATTATCAAATAAAAAATTTTTACATTCATTATCATTAGATGGACAAAGTTGTGTTAAACTAGAAAATGTTGATTGTTTATAATCTTCATATGGTCGAAAACATTTAACTCGATTTGTTAATTGAACAATAGTATTACTAAATAATGGTGCTTGTCGATTCCAATAAGGACTACTACGTTGAACACATTCTGTATAATTATAATTACATGCATTTATAGTACACATACAAGCTCGATAAGAACCTCGTAGTTTAGAATATGGTGAAGCAATACAAAAATCATCATAACCATTTAATGTACCACGTGGAAAATTTTGACATTCACGAACAAGATTTTCATGATAAGCTTCAACTTGATTAACATTTAAACATTGATATGTTATACCTAATGGTCCAGAACCAGTCAATGAAAGTGATGTTCTAATTTCATAATTGCGTGCAATAACAAGACATGCTTCACAATTAAATAATAATGTTGATGATGATCCATTCCAACATGTTATATTTCGAGTAGAAATACGATTTTCTGTTGAAAGAAGAAAACCTGATGATGTTCTTAAGTATATTATGATGAAAACGAGAAACATTGTATTAAAAAATAAATGACAATATAATCCTTATAAAGAATGGTGTATTATATGAATGTTGTCTGTCAATAGTAATCAGGCGAAGACGATAGCAAAATAACTCATCAGTCAATATGTACTTATATTATTTTGTCTGGATAATTGAAATTTTGTTAAACTTCGTTTCTTATGCTCTGAAAATCGAACCAAAGAATGTAACCGATCGAGATTTTGATAATCAGCCGATCTGCTTATCCAGATCGGTTCGAAAATTATACCATTACCAATTCTATCTCTAGATAATGTTATTTGGATACAGTTAACTTTCACCATAATTTTATCATCATTTATTCTCTACTAGATAAGATCGACCAATTGATGACCGTTCTACTGATTATTGATCTATCTAAAGTTTCTATCGATATCAGTTCCATCTCTGCTATAAAGATTTTGATAAGAAATATTCCTTGAAAAATTCTCAAATGTCTACTTGTGAAAATTATTCTATGTAATACACCATTGTAACAGTGACTACGCCAAAATGATTAAATTAACATTTCTTTTTAATATTATGAAAGTTTTTTGTTAGTCAATTCTTCTTTAAACTTTTCATTATTTTTATGAGATGAAATTTTATTTTAATTCTAACTTATACTTCTATTTCATAAAAGCGCCATCCAATTATTGTTCAAGGAGGAATTGCCTTGGATTTTGCGTGGCTTCATGTCCGCCTTTTTTTTTTACATGTGTACACGCGACAAAAAAAGTGACTTTTTCTCTTTTTTTTTTTTCTCTCCGGACGAACGATCAAAATTTTCAATCATCATCTTGCCAAACTAAGCAGCAGAAAGAGTAGTCATGGCTGAAAAGAAAAAGAAGAAAGGAGGTGGTAAAAAGAAGAAGACAGGCGAAAATGTCTATGAAGCTTTACTTGAATACAAGTTTGTCTAATTCATCTATAAAAAAATATTTTTTCGATATAAAATTATTTTTATTTCTAATAAAGAATTTCTATAATTGACAAAGAACTTGAAGAATGGCGTTTTCGAGTACATAAACTCGAAGAAGAAAATGAAGCATTAAAAGGACGAGATGCACATCTACGTGAAGAATGTGAAATAACAATGAAACATCTTGTCAGTGATGCTTTACAATTTGATAAAGAAAATATTAATTATCCAAAAATTGATAAAGAAGATGTAAGTATGATATTATTCATTCGATTGATAACTTTTTTTCTTTTTCTTTTTAGGTTAATGCAGCTCTACATGAAAAAATGGATGCAGCTGCACATGAAGAATCTGAACTAAGAGGTAAAAAAATCTAATCTAAAGAATTTATTTATTTATTTATTTTTTCGTTCAATAGATCTTCATGATCAAATGTTTCATGTTGAAATTGAAATCTTCAAAACAAGAAGTCGAATAAAACAATGGATGAAATATCGTGATGTAACACGACTTGAAGAACAACGTACTATTCAATCACTTGAACGTGAACTTGCTTATATGATAGATAATTATGTTGTTCTTTCAAGTATTTATTTTTTGTTACCTTCATTTATATGTAACCATTAAAATATATATATATATATATATCATTATTTTATTTAGAACATTTGGAAAAAAATACTAAAGAAGAACGATTTGCATTGACACAAGTGACACAAGATAAAATTAAACAAAAAACTCAAGCAGCTACTGAACGTGTTGCAATGGGTCTTGATCGATTTACAAGAAAAATGTTAAGTGAAAATCAATATATGAATCAAGAGGTATTGTTTTTCTTTTTTTTTTTGTTCAATATTATTTATTAATCATTATAATTTACAAATTTTCTTTTTTTTTTTAATATTGAAGCTTTCTATGCGAGAACAAGAACTTATTGAACTTGAAGAACATATTCGTGCATTAGAACAAGCAAATCTTTCTATTAATGAAAGACTCAATGCTGCTCATATAACTGATACAACAACTTTTACGTATATAATAAATATATTTTCAAAAAAAAAAACAAAAAAATTCTAATATTTTCCTTCTATTTAAATAGAAATACATTCCTTACGGAAATATTCCATGATGAGATAACAACAAATATTGCAGATAATTCTTTACTTGCTGTCGATTTAGGACAATTGACAATACGTAGTGATGTCCGTGAAAAAACATTTGAACAATTACTCAGTAAGTTAATCGAATGGAAAATTAAATTTATTTTCATTTGTTTTCGTATATTAAAAAAAAAACTAATAGATGAATTAGATCAGAATACACCACGTTTGTCGACAATTGCAGATGAAGATGTAAGTAGATTATTAAGAATATTCTCTACTGATCACTATAGAATACTAAAAAAAAAAACCAAATTTCTATAGTTTCCTGTAGATTATAATTCTCAATGGTTTCTATTTGTAAATTTCTTTTTTCAGACTATTACTTCACCGATGACTAGTTTACATATTGAAGGCACTCATATGCATGTTCAACCACCTCCAATACTTAATGAAGAAGAAGAAAAATGTTTAGATTTTAAAGGACCTAAATGGATTGATACAGTTCAACTTAAACAAGCACTTCGTAAAACATAAATACAAGTGACAAATATATGTTTCTATTTTTTTATATTAAAAGAAAAAAAGAAAAATTATTGTATACACTCAAAGAAAAGAAAAAACAAACAGAAATGAAAGGAAAAAAAAATGTTATAAAACAGATGAAGCTATGGGTGGTGTTGTATGTCTAGAATTTGTACCATATGATGTTGCAAATGAACTACTATTTGTTAATGCACATAATTGATAAAAGTCTGGGTTATGTGATGGAACAACTATATCAGGTGAAGGTGATAATAATGGTTGTTCACTATTTGGTGATAAATATACAGTTGCTTGATCAATATCATCATCTTGTAATAACCATGGATATTCATATATTTGTTGTAGTAATGTTTGACGTTCAAGTGCTAATTGTTGATCATATTCTTCATTATCTGATTCAAATAAATTTGTTTCATCTTCTTCATTATCGTCAAGAGTCATTCGTATCTAAAAAAAAAAAAAGAAGAAAAACAAGACAAAATAAAAATTGTATTTTGTTTTGTTTATTTTTTCTATTTTTACCATTCGTTCAATATGAGATAATTTTGATTGAGATTGATTTGATGTTATTAATGATTGTTGTTGTCGTTCATTAGCAAATCGTCGTTGTTCAGCACAATCATGTGACCAAACATTTAATTCACTTTCTGAACCATATGTATTGATTAAATTAACTTCAATTGAATGTTCATTTATTGTATTTGAATGATATACATGAAATTCAATTTCATTTTCACCTATACAACATAATTTTTGTCTTAAATCTGAATCAGATAAAACACGACGAAGAAATATTAAACGATTTAATAAACCAGGAAACATAAGACGTTTTTGTGGTTGTTTTTTAATTCGAATTTGATTTTTTATTGATATATTAAATGTTGATGAATGTTGATTACAATTATCATCTTGATCAATAAAATTATCTTCAATATAATCTGATATATTAAATAATTGATTTAAATCAGAACATGTTGAATCTGTTGAATCAGCTAAATCATCAGTTATAATTGGTAATGTATCTTTTATAATAAGTTTTTCAAATGTTTCAGAACGAGAAAATGTTGTTGATGTTGATGAAGATGATGATGAAGATGATGTTATAGTTTGATCTTTTGGTTGAGGACTATCAGCACCGTCAAGACTATCAAGTGAAATATCTTTATCTGCCAGTGGTGGAGGTAATGATGATGATGATGATAATAATGTTGTTGATGCAAGAGGAATGATTATACCATTTGAACAACGATTTCGTACAAATGGGCAAATAATAGATGAAGTATCAGATAATTCTCGAGTAAATTCTTCGAGTTTATCAATATCAACTAAAATAAAAATAGAAATTTTTTTAATGATCAATTATTTCAAAAAAAAATCTTGTACCTTCTTTCACCGGTTTTCTTGAACATCGTTTATTTGATGTATCAAGCCAATTTTTTACAAGTCCTGTATTACGTCGTCGTTCTTCGGTTATATTTTTCTTTAAATTATTTGATCGTATATCATCTTTAACATCGGATGATGACCATGTTGAATATCCTTCATCTTGTATAGTTGTTAATAATTTATTTATTTGTTGATTTTCTTCAATACTTGATTCACTTGATGTTGAATTCATTTGTTCAATACTACAAATCGATTTTTCTTCAATTGATTTGACTATTTTTTTTGATGATATAACTGTTTCTATTGAAGATTTTTTTACAACTGGTGGTATTGTTCTTGTATGTTTATTTAATGATGATTGAATAGAATTATTCGTATTATTCTTATTGTTATTATTATTATTATTATTATTATTATTACTGACTGTTGTTATAGAACGAGATCGAAATTTAGATGATGAATTTTGTACAACTGATGATTTTAATGTTATTGGTGGATGAATTGTCTTTTTTGTCGTTGTATTATGAATTGATGCAACAGCTCGAATTGATGTTATAGTTGAATCTTTTTTAGTTGCTGTTGTAACAGGTGTTGAAATATTCGATTTTTTAACTGATGTTATCTGTTTTGTTACTGAACTCGTTGTTCTAACTGGTAATTTCGAAGCTTTATTTACAGATAACGAACGACTATTATTATTATTGTTATTATTATTATTATTATTTGATGGTGGAGTTGTTTTTGTATTTGAAGTATTATTAACGTTTGTATTACGATTAGTTGAACAACGAGAAGGAAGACGTGAAGGACGAACAGTTGATGTTGTAGCTGGCATTGTTCGTGTTATAGAACAACGTTGAACATTTGAATTTAAATTACGTTCATTAGTTGTCATTGTTTTTATAGTAGATATAGTAGAAGATGATTGTTCTTGGGGTATTTTTGCAACTACAAATGTTTCTGAACGTTGAAGAATTGCTTGTTGTTGTTGTTCGTCTTCTTCTTCTTGTTTCGATTGAGATTCTACTGAAATAATAGAAATATTTATGATGTAATTTCTTATTTTAAAATTTTTACTTATCAATTCGTTTGAAATTGGAAGTATTGGTGTTTGAATTTTTGTATTATTATTATTATATGACAACTAGAAAATAAATTATATATAAATATTTTTTTTTCGATATTCTTTTAAAAAAGAAAGCATATAATTCTTCCTGTTTCCGTTCGAGATGAATTTGACCCGAAGCTATAAAGAGTATCTATTAAAATAGTATTTGTTCTTAATGATGAGATTACATCATAGATGGTGTCAAAAAAAAAGAAAGAAAGAAAAACGGACGGATGTCATTTATGTTAATAAAACAAGTATTGAATGGATTTTATGAAGAAAAAAAAAAAAAAGAATTTGTGTTTAAAATCATAACTATGATTAACTTACTAAATCAAGTGTCCAACTACCCGATGTTGAAAATGAACAATGAGTTGTTGCTGATGAACACGATGATGATGATGATGATGATAACGATGAACGATTTTGATATAAATGTCGAATAAATTCAGCAGTTGTTTCAGGTGATGTTGACAATAATTGATAATTAGAGATAAGTTCATATGGTTGTTTTAAATTTTCCCAAGATAAACTTTTTAAACGTTTTATTCGATGACCAATCTGATAGGAATTAAAAAGAAAAATTCGAAGATTTTTTTTTTTTGGTTTTATGATTTATTACTTGATTTGAATGTTTATCTTGTATTGCAATAGTTGTTAATGATGATAGTCGTTCAATAACATGATATATTGATGCACATTCTTTACGAATATTCTAAATAAAAGGTTCTTTTACAATCAATAGATAAGATCATCTAATAATAGTTGCTCTTTTTTTTTTCTTCATTTTTCAACTTTTATATACACATTATATATACATATAGATATATATATACATAATTTTTTTTTTGTGAGATGAATGAATAAGAGTTGCGTCATTAATGTATATGTTCGCTCGGCCCTTCTCACTATAATATAATATTAGATGCGTGTGTCACTCCCGTATGTATGCTTTGAGCTATAGCTACTATATAGAGTCCATCATCATCAAGAACGAAGGTCAGTAAAAGAGGTGAACTAACGATAACAAAAAAAAAAACGTATAATAAAAAGAAAAGAAAAAGAAAAATCCCATGAAAGAATAGTAATATTGAATTTGACCATCAGCTGTGTATGTGCTGTGCCTGATTATTTATTCAAAGAAAAATGCAATGACCTGTCTATAAATAGACGGTAATCTGAGTCGTGAGTTGACCCTATGGTATAGTATAAGTTTATGAACGGAAATCATCTGACAAGAAAAGATAGACAGATAGACATTTCAAGTGAAATGATCATTGAACCGTCTCGTACAACACCATCTGGAAGTACATCTTCTTATTGTCTTTTAAGTTGTCGTTAATGAAATTTGACACAACCTAAATTTTCTTTATTCTTCCAATTTATTCTATCATCTCTTAAAGCTGTCAATATTGAACTACCTTTTATCGATTCATGAAATGCAACAAAGCATAAAGATAGTTTACTTACAATAAAACTTTCTGATGATGATGATGTCGTCGGTCGACTAACCATATTCATACAAGAAATGAAAATGTTCAAATGAAGAAGAAGCAATGTCCGGTAATTTCTTCTTTTACTCTGTCACATCTGCTTTCGCTGTTCATCTGTTCTCTCGACAGAAATAGTAACTACTATCCATGATTGCTGACCTCACATCACTCACCATCAATATCAAGAAGAAAGAAAAGAGAAGAAAACGAAAGAAATAATTGTTTCAGGACATATGCTGCCATAGTCTACTTTTGCAGCTATTGTTAATATAGGAAATAACCAAAAGGCGGATTATGAAATCAAAGTCTTATACTATAATTAGCCGCAGATATTCTGTTTTATTTTTCCGCAAATAAAGAATGCTTTGATAAGATTTATACTGACCTTTTCTAAGGATAAATGAAAAGAAAGAGAATTACGCAAATCTTAACCATCATCATTCTTTGTTTTTTTTTTTCTTCTCTTCTCTTACTTCTTGTAACATTGCTGTTCTTAAAACCATTGTTGTTAATTGATCTAAAAATCGCTCATATTCTTGACGTTGACATTTATTTTCAGCAAATAATCGTCCATTTTCTTGTTCAAGTTGACGTATATATTCTTCAAGGAAACGTGTTGGTTGAGCGTCTACATTTGTTGTACACTGTTATTGATTGATCAATAGAAAAAAAAAGTTGATAAGAAATACAAGAGGCTTATAATTATGTATTTTATTATATTTTATTTACCAAAGCCTCGAGTTGATCGATACGTTTGTGTAATTCGACATTTTCATTTTTGAGAACTGACACACGTTCGTCAAACTCACGAATCTTCGTCTAGTAAATAGAAATAGATTTAATGACAAAAGAAAAAAAAAAGAAAAAGAAATTCCAATTTTACTTCATATAACGATGGATCGTGAAGTTTGTTCTTCCATTTGAGTAATATACTCATATTTGTCGACTGCTACACATTGGCCATGACTAAAATGAAATGTTCTATTGTAGGACACATATATACT